TACAGGTACTCCAATTTTTCTACTATATTCTTAAACAGCAAGAATCGGCGCCTTATCATTCTACATTAGCATAATAGTTGATTAGTTTTAAAGCTCTCTAAAAAATTGCAATCAAAGTTTTAAAATACAGTCAATTAAAAATTCGTTAATATTCATTATTGCCTGTAAATGCTGATGTCATAACATCATCCTGCATTGGTTAGCTAATAGATAATCATGATAATTTTTCCCTTTCAACTGCTGTATTGATGAAATTTAGTATTTCTGCAATTTACTTACTTCTAATTAAAATATCTGCTAGTATGCTCGTACATAGACCCTCTATGTAAAACTGTAAATATACCCAAGGAAAAAATGGATATTCGTGAATGACAGTGAATAATTGCTCGGTATTAGTTATGGTGATGAGATGATTTACAAATTTAGTAACATTATTTAAAGGTTCATTTTACTCCCAAGATATGCAATAATTTAATATCTGAATCATACAATAGCAATTGATTAAAGGGTTCTTCTATAGACTTTAATTTAAGTTATATTCTAAATTGATCGTAAAGTTGCCATAGCCTTGAGCATTATGATTATGAATGCACAGCTGCTGTATATTATTTCCTTTCAATCAAGCATTTTAATATTTATCCTTACAATACTTTTTACTTAGAGCAATGGCAACTACTTCGTGCATGAGACTGGTTATTTAAATAGAAATGATACACGTTAGTTGTCTTCACTCAAGCGTGCACTAATAGCTGGCAAGTATTGTATACCTATAAATGTTAATTGTACGTTTTTAATATCGAAAGACAGTGATTTACATTATGAAGATGGTTGCCATAAATTTAAGAGAAAGTAAACTGTTATACAGAAGTTTGCATTTATTTTTCATGCGTCATAAACTATCATAATGTCCATACAAGAGTATCAGTTGCTCTAGTCACATTCTTACTTATAGATGAACTCATGATATACGCAGCTACGCCATAAAAATGCATTGAATTTACTATGTTTCATCGTTAATTATATCATCCATATTTTTGAAAGCTTCATATAATTCAAGTCTCTGTTTTTGCTAAAGTAAAGAAAAATTTGGAAACGATAGGTTTGCAAATGGTGAAAAACAGTTTCATGTCTGTAGCAATAACATCATAGCAGATATCTACACGAAAGAATTTACACGACCTATAGCACTTACGACGATTTGATAGCAATAGGAACGATCATAGTTTAATGAAACTGGGAAATTGAAAGGCTATATATCTATCGGCTATTAAATGCTAGGATAGTGCTTTTTGCTAACTTTAGCAAGCAATGCAAATTGTATTGGATTGAAGTAAGCCAGATCTTACAGTTGTATATGATTCCAACTAGGTTATCAATATGCTTATGGTGGTTTCTTTTTGCTTTAGCAAAAAGAATTTCAATATAGTAATCTCCTTCGCGTTTAGAATATTGTTTGCTGCGCGTAAATTTTCTGCTGCCTTTCATAGATGGTATTTAGTAGTTAATAATTATTGTTGTCAGTAGAGTGAGAAATAACTGCCTTAATAAATAGTGTTTATTTAGCAATCAATGAAGTAATTCTAAAAAATCGTTTAGTTAGGATTAATTTTGTTGAAGCCGTAATTAGGTAATTTAATTGTTGTAAATATTATAATATCAATAATAGGGCTTAAGTAGTAATGAATAGGAATATACGCTACCTTAATAGTTTACCTTAATATCAGGTACTAGATGTGCGATAAATTACTCTTTCTGTAGTTTGATATTCTATTTCAAGGTATACAAAGGTGCAGTAATTGTTTGTGACTACGAGATAAAGAATAGAGGCGAAATTAGATGGATCCAGACTTACTTAAATAAACATAGGTTATTCGATAGTATTTAAAATTCTATGAATTCTGTTGTCTTGCATTTGTGATTGCACTCCAGATTTGTGCCAAACAACACTGATATACAGATAATATCTCAGAGGCATCTCGATCATCGTTTGCCAGTAATATTGAAATGAAATATGATTATTGGAAATACTGACATAACCTTATCCGTCGCTATCATGGAGCTCCCATATGTAATTGCAATAATATCAGTATCCGGAACTATTTGGCAATCATATCCTGACGGAATCACATTCTCCAGCTACAGTTTTTATAGATTGTCAGTATTATCGATGCATCTCT